ATGTCTTAAGATCATCTTGGGACATATATATGTTCTAAGTTGGTTTATCAAACATGTCGTAACTTAGGAGAAGTCATAGGAATAGTCGTAAGTTTATGACATCTATGTTGGTGTCTTAAGATGGTCCGAGGATAGTCCTAACTTTAGGATATATTCTATGATGTTTAATTTGTAATTAAATACGATCACCACCTATATATGTATATTTACGGAGCAGTACAAATATTTTTGGTAGAAAAAGGCCGCTTAAAGACTATCATAGTACACTGAACTATTTGGGTGACATTGACGTTATGCGCAAGTATAGATTATCCGTAATACTGGCGCTTGGGGAATGGACCCCCTTTTTCTATTTATTTCATTATATTTTAATTTTACTTCGTAAATATTCTTTAATATTTTAACAGATTTTAACTTATTTAATGTGTTCTTTCTCTTATCCAAAAGTTATTACAGTAACAGAAGTAAATATATGAAAGAATAGAAAACAAAGGATATGGGGTATCCATCCATGACACAAAATCAGTACATGCACAGCAAAAATATACAAAAAGCAAAGTTGCTGTTCTTCATGAGGCCCCTTTTCTTATTTTGCACGTTTAAAATAAGAATAGAGGGACATCATATATAAATAAATCACATTAAATAAATGATAAAAAGTTTAAAATATTTAAGAAAATTTATAAAAAAAAAGAGTTAAAACACAAAAATAAAAGATTTAAAAAAGGAGGTCCATTTCCCAAGCGCCTGTGATCCGTAATGAAATAATTTATGTACTCCGTATTTATCTAAAAATGCACGAGATTTGCCTTTGAACTCTATAAAGTATAAAACCGTGACACCCCGAATTAAAATCACTAAAAAAAATATATTCAGTTGTCACTTTTTACAAATGAGTTGTTCATTTCTTATATAAAACGCATTTACATTTACATTTTTTGTGTGTTTTTTTTTGTGTTTTTGTTTCTTATGTTTGAATGTACAATTATAAGAAAATTATCGATTATACATTATTTAAAAAAAGTAATGTTGTAAATAACATTTTTATACATAGTCGCGAATCTTATTGCCGCAATTGTGCTGTGTACATACTATTTTTGATTAATATCGCTTTATATTTTAACGCACCAAAGACTTTTTCTTAACTCACATAAACACATTTTATTTTTTGTTTATATTTTTATTGTTAATATAAAGATATCCGCTTTTTCGATAAGTAAATATTAATTGCGCATCCTATAAGTGGAGTGCTTCGAAATAAACGGAGGTACATACCTGTACATAACAGAGCAGATGAATAGTATTTATTATCCTTATAATGATATTAATGAACATTTTAATTTTTAATCTTAAAATATTTGCTACTGGTGAAATTCGATGCATTTTTATATACCATTAATGTTTAATATCTTATTTTCCTTTACGCTAACACTTAGGACAGCGGTTAGGACATCCTAGCTAAGATAGTCCTCAGATGTGCATGCTGAGACATGTCGTAAGTCGGTCCTAACATTATCCTAATTTATACCTAAGATAGGTCTTAGGACAAATCCTAGGACATCCTCGATAAACAGGCCCGTGGTATCTATGATGAGTTTATAAATTGGGCCTCTCGGCTGACCACATTTGTTTACAGTGAATTATTCTCCCATAAAATCTCATTTTTCGCACTAAACGTATGTTTTGAATATCAAAATTGCTTAAATCGTGAATATGACTTATATTACAGACTACAATATCATTCCTTTCATCGTATCTCTAAAAAAATAATTGTAAACACTTGCTAGACTCATTAACCCGTTCTGTACATTCAGGTGCATGAGGTTTGTGTAAATTTGTTACTAATTTGAGTTGATTGAATTTATCTCGTCGTTTACAGTGTCTCTCTATATCTATCGTGGTCCAGGCAGATCTCGCTAAAATGTATTAGCCTTCTTGTACACAATTGATTCCTGAATTTTGTGTTTAATATTAGTTACATAGTGTGGTAGTGACCTAATAAGATATATAATGGGGTCAGTAAATTCCATATATATGGGGTAAGAGCGAAGCTCGAACCTCATATGGAATTTATTAACCCCATGTATATCGTAATAGGTCACTAGCACACTGTGCAACGAATTTATCTTACCGACTATCTTAACATGTGGCATTTAGACTAGTGGCCGATCAAAGTGATCAAGTTTTCAATATAAAGAACCTACTTCTATTGGTATATACAAAAACAAATGCCAACAATAACAACTTGTTAGCTTTTAATGTGTTTTCTGCATTTGTTTTAATCGTTCATCATCAATTTCTTTGTTTGTAGAAACGTTTCAGATTTTTCATCAACGCCGTATTGTTTTTATAAAGGGACGTAACACCACTACCAACCGTGCATTAGAATAAGCCCCGCCTACTAACCCCATATGACATATACACGGTCTCCACGCGGTAGCTTTTAACCAATGATATTCCTAGAAATGTATAGGAGGTAAGATAAGAATATATATGGTCATCCCGTTTTATGCAGCCAGAATATTCATTTCCAAAATACCTCCTTAAATCAAATGGTCGACCCCTTACATGGTGTGTTGACTTAAAAGCTTACCTGAGCTTTGATATACCAAACTATGACTCAAATATGAGAGATCAATTCTCACAAAAATTAGAAGAACTGCACATTCACTTGCTATTAAAAAGTAAAATAACAAAAATACCAATCTCCAAGGCAAATTCAAAACGGAAAGTCCCTTATCAAATGGCAAAATCAAAAGCTCGAACACATCAAACGAATGGAAAACAACTGTCACATTCCTGACTTGGTACAGACATTTCCATTATGTAGAAAATGGTATATTAAAACCTGGTTTTATAGCTAGTTAAACCTCTCACTTGTATGACAGTCGCATAAAAATCCATTATATTGACAACAATGTGTGGACTGAAAAAACCCAGACATAATAGGTAAAAATGTCAAAAATAGGAGAACAGCAGTCAACATTGTGTTATAATCTTAGTCACTATAAAAACAAACAACTATGTGAACAAAGAAATCAAAAGGCATATAGACAAAGCATATAAGCAAAAAAGAAAGACAAGAATACAAAAAAATACCATAGCACAATAACACAATGGCGGGATATATAAATACCAAGCCACGCCAAAAGGATATTACCAAAAATGGACTAAACAGTAAAGGTTATTAATATAAAAAGACAAATAAAAGAACACTATAACACGTAATTAAGATGATAAGCAACGTCACTACCTAGAATCTATACATCAAGATCATCAACAAGGTCTTGGTATCTTCCGATGAACTTTTTAGAAAAAGGACGAGACGTTCTTTGACATAACCCTTGTTCATCAACTTTCTGCTCAGACACTGGTGACGTTTTATAAAGTCTGAGTAGCAACTGCAAGCTCTTGAATACCGAATGAGTTGGGAAATGTATATCCCATTTGCAGGTGAAGTTGGTAAATTGCTGCTAAGGTGGGGGAAATTGATAATTTCAAAATTAAAATCGTCGCGTTTGTCAGATTCTGGTTCTGAGAATACCGCTTATGTCAAATTCGAGGTATAAGTCTAAAAATGAGGCGGAGGAAGCCGTGTCTGTTGTTTCTTTAATTTCTAGTTCTGGAGGATATATTAATGGAACCCAATCAGAAAAGTTTGGATTTTTAATGGAAAGAACATCATCCATATATCTGAATGTGAAATTAAATGATCTGGCTTCTTTGATCCTCTTGTTTTGACAAGTGTCTGAAGGAACTCCGACTCATATAAAAATTAGAAGAGGTCGGCAAGGAGAGGCGTACAGTTCGTTCCCATAGGAATGCCGACAATTTGTTGAAAAAATCTACCTCCAAATTCAACAAATATGTTGTCAATACGAAACTCCAGCATACTGATCACTTGGTACTCTGTGTAGCATGTTTTACCTTTTTGTTCACTATTAACAAAATATGCCGTATGGTATCCAAAAGTAATAAATTTATAGCGTATGCTACCATTTTTATATTGAAAAGCATTGTGGATTATTTCTTCCAGACGATTTTTCAATTTCACATGGGGAATGGTGGTATACAGGGTTGAAAAATCAAAAGTTTTGATAGAATATATTTCAGAGAAAGATCGAGATTTAAAATTATCCAGAAGTTCTTTAGTTTTTTTTTAGAATCCACATATGGTTAATACCACTACGCGAGTAAACAGTTTCACAGTATTTCTGAAGATCCTCTTTCACTGCGGACAGAGTTTTTGTCAACCTAATGGACAATTCCTTTGTAGAACTTGCAGATAAGCCGGCAATGTACCGTTGTTTGTACGAAATTTTGTGAAGCTTAGGTATCCAATACAAACAAGGTAAGTCATCAGATTTGCTGTTCAATGTAATGTTCATTGAAGCCATGGAGGACTTATGATTCGTCAAATTCTCTTCCTTGTCAAATGATATGTTTTTGTTAAGTTAATTGTGAAATCTGGAGTCGTGATTACATGTAACATATTACATGTCTTACATGTGCTCCTCTTTCCTTTTTTATGTTTACAAGTAGAAATGATTCACTTGTAGCCGGTGTCTTTAAACAGTCGAAAATATTAACAGTACATGGTTTTAATTTTTGAAAAGTATCTGAATTTTTAAAGTAATAATTACCTTCTGGCTGTACATATGTCAAATCAGGGGTATCCCGAAGGATGTTCCGTGGAACACAAATCAAATGCTACAGTGTTCCGTTGAAACGAGGATGTACAGTAAACCAAAAACGTTAAATACTGTAAGATTCTGCAAATTTTGCGGAGACAAAGTAGAAAATGAAGTACACTTTCTTTTATATTGTCCCCATATAAAAATCTTCGAGAGAAGTTTAGTATTTTCAAGAATTTGATTTAAAAAGATGATATCAAATCAGTAATATATTTACTAAACCAAAATAATTTGGTTAATGCAAGACAAATATGTCAAGCTTTTGAAGTTCGTACTAACACGTAGTGTCTGTTGGTACCATGATTAATGGAAGTACTATACAAAAAAAATAATAGACTTTTGCTACAGCATATCATTAATTTTCACTTGTTATGTATAATGTTTTATTTACATTGTTTGTCATGTTGTATATGTCATGTTTGTTGTACACTTGGATTACGCATTGTCATATATATTATATGTTTTTTATCCAATAAAAATATTTGAATATTTAAATATATATATATATATTTGTATATAAAACGTCTAGATATTAGTCAACGATCTTTCTTACCAGGGGCCAGTATCATGAAAACCTATCTTAAGTTTCATTTAAGAGAAGACTTACGAACGCTTTACGAGAACATTACGATGGTGCTAAGAGCGTATCTCCAACCCCCTCGTGGGACATTTTTCTTGTCTCATTGTTGAAAGTTGTCTATAATTGCTTACATCCACTTCAGTTGAACTTTGGAAGATAGTTGTCTCATTGTAAATCATACCACATCTCTTTATTTTTATGAGAAAAGCCAACTTTAACAAAGATGATTTAGAAACAATGCTAACAGCTATTCAGCAGAAAAAAATGCTGTTCCTAGGGACATTTGCCGATTCTGTAATCACGGACAATCTTACGGTCGTCTAAGAAAACCAATGGATTTGTTCGATCTCTGAAGACCCTTTGGATATCCTATTTTATTCTGTTGAACGCACATGCAAGAACATTGCAAGCGCTAGTTTGTCAACTAAGAGAGAGATAGAGGTGCCCATGACCACTCTTAGAATTTTCTGTTAAGTTTTCAGTAAAAAAAGAACGCTGATACACTTAAAATTTGCTAAGAGTAATCAAAGACGATCTTAAGTTGATTATCCGTTCGAGGTACCCAGTCGATAAGATTAAATCTAAGAGAGCGTTCCGAGAAGGATAAAGAGTACTCTTAGGGTTGCGAGTGGGGCATGCATTTTAAGGGCTGTCAATCATTCTAAGATTACTTCAAGATAAACTCTTAGCAGATAAGATGATCTTAAAATGATCTTAAGCACTAAGATTGCTTCATGATACCGGTCACAGGGCGCTGATTCGTTATGAGAAACGATACTGTACACAATAAATCAATTATACATACGCCTTAAAAGTGTACAAAACAACACCAATATTAAAATAAAGAAAACAATAAACATAAGTATCAATAAATATATCGCATAACAGATATCCCTCATCAGTATAATTATGATGATGTAAAATGAAGCATATTAATCTATTTTGATTTTAATAAAACAATCTTTAACGTAATACACATTAAAAACGAACCACGCTTGTATAATTCTAAAATTTTGAGAGAGAGAGAGAGAGAGAGAGAGAGAGAGAGAGAGAGAGAGAGTTGAAAACTCATTTATTTTTTTTTCTACAAATTCTCATCAGAGGTATGAGAGAGAGAGAGAGAGAGAGAGAGAGAGAGAGAGAGAGAGAGAGAGAGAGATTTATAATGCCTTATACTAGGAATCTTAAATTTTTGGCAAAACCGGACAATCAAAATACACTTTCATGCACAATTTATAAGTAAACATATGTTATAACATAAGTTTAATGAAAAATAAAAAAAAAAACTGTAATGGATGATTTAGGACTAAGCAAAATATGGGATTCACAGACTCTTTTAATTATATAAGTAGATATTAAAAGTTTCATCAAACAAAGAATGATTGACCAGATATGACAAATTATGAAAAAATATATATTGTGTTATTACCGTTTCATCTAGAGGACAACTTTATTTTATATTTAAAAAGAAATGTCTCTCGAGTCGTATTTACTATGAATACCGATGTTCTATTTATATAAAAAAAAAACAACAAAAAAACTGGTCAATTGCAAGGTCAGTTTATCAATTTCGGCAGTCTCAATGAGGAAGTGGTAAACATTGTCGATGATTATTTGGTTGATTGTCGATGTTTAACTTCACTTTCAGCACTCTTGGCTATATCGTGATGGTACTTTTTGTTGGTGGAGGAAGCCGGAGTTTCCGATGAGAACTATTGACCTTTGGCATGAAATCTGGCAATGCTAGTCCATTAAGATTGGAGTCGAACACACCTGCCACGTGTGGGGTTCTAACTTAAGAAAAATATATCAGTGTTAACAGGCTAGTGATTCTGATGATGAACGACTTAGACCACTTCGCCACAGAGGCCCCGATTAACGATGCAAACAATTATAAATCATTATTGTTGTTATCACCATTCTTATGTATTTTACAGCTAGTTTTGATAGAAAAACAAACAGCATCATCATTATTAACAGGAACAGTAACAGTAACACCACAACCATTATCAGGACAAGGACCAACACCAGGAACAACACCAGTACCAACACCAGGAACAAAACCAGTACCAACACCAGGAACAACACCAGTACTGACACCAGGACCAACACCAGAACTGACACCAGGACCAACACAAGGAGCAAAACAAATATCATCAACAGCAACAAGAACTCCTGTACAAGGACCACATCATCACCCTATATACAGATATTGTATGTATAGTTTTAAGAATATTAATTGTTTCCTTATGTTCAACAAAACCTATTTCCATGATTCTTAATACTGGTATTAAAATAATGGTCACGTTATAACAAGATAAAAGTTGATAAGAAAATATGTTTGTTGATTCAAAAGATATTTTGAATAAATTGTTCTTACTGACACGAATTAAAGGATATAAGGCGTAAATGTCAAGTGGACAGCAAACAACGACACAACAAGCTAAACGACGTTTGTCATACACTTATCCACGAATTACCCCTAACCCGGAAATTTACCTTTATCCATTACCCTTAACCAGGAAACAAAACTTTTTCTAAAATATTTTTCAACAAAGCAAAATATTTTATAGTAGGTCTTTTGATAGGATATATAGTTAAGTAATAAATATTTTTGGATGAGTAGAACTATGATAATTGGAATAAAATGCACAAATATTGAATGTTGAATGTCAGAAAGTACCTAACAGCCACGTTCACCTATTCTCCAGGACCCAACACATCGTGTTTCTACAGCACAGAATAGGACAAACTAGGATGTCACGTGGCTCATATGAAGGGTGTGTGCTTCTTCAGGGGTCCTGACCCAGTCCTTCATGGTGTACTTAGGTTTGACTAGCGAGCTATTCAATATTTCTTTAAGTTCCAATGTCTACTGTACGCAACGATTGTTGGTTTTGGAAATAGTCCCCTACATTTCGTATTGAGAAGTAGTTTTTTATAATGTTTACACAAAGCTTTATTTAAATTTCCTAATGAAAAGTGATATTTGGTTACAAATACTAGTGGTATCTGCTTGTCAGATTCTTGTTTAAAGCGGAGTAACTCCGATCGTTCGATATTGAGAGCCGATTCACAGTTACGACATATTTCATGCTCCTTATACCCCCTTTGCTTAAGATGGCCTTTGAATTTACAAATTGTATCTTTTAAATTCTGTGTGTTACTGTTATTTCGATGGTGGCGAATAGCTTCCCCTTTTATAAATCCAGAGAAAACTGTTGGGTTATGCATAGACGTCCTACATGTATCTAAATACTGAAATGTATTAGTAGGTTTGGTGTAGCTCTTTTTATCAAGAATTCCTGAACCTCTCCCCTTTATGTATGTCTTTGTTTGAAATTTCATAAGTTAACATAAATAAGGGTGATGATCATTTGCTATTTTAAAGAACTCCTCAACCTCTTCTCGTGATGAATGAGCTATTATAAACGCATCATCTCTATATCTTCCGAAAAATAAAATCTTATCTTTATACTTATATTTTTCAATGATTTCATTGATAACTTCGAATGCTCTAATATCACATATTTCTGGGCTGCATTTTCTTCCCATACTAGCGCCTATTTTCTGTACAAAGAATCGGTCATTAAATTCAAAATAATTGTTCTTCAACACTGTGGCTACTAAAGATTTAATTGTTTCACAGCTAGGTATAATTGTATCGGATAATCATCTTTAACTGCACTGATATAAACCCGTCCAAAAGATTGAATGAGTTCATTGAACTCCATGTTGGTATAGATACTGGTGCAGCCAAAAGAGATTGAAAGGCAATCCCGATCAGGCCTTAAATTTTCTATTTTATTTATGAAATCCTCACTATCTCTAATGTAACTGGTTTGTCTTTTAACTATAGGTATCAAGAAGTTATCAATAAATTTGCTAACCCTTTCGATGACAGAGTTGCATTGAGAAATTATTGGTCTGCATGGGGGCAATTCATTTACTGCCATCGTTTGGCTTTTTATCCCTTGAATAACGCTGTCACTTAATTTGTGAAGTTTAGGAATAAAAAAGAGACGACCCAATCTGGGTCCCTCTTTCGATGAGCCACGGAGAAAATCAAGAGTTACCCCATCAATCTCACCATTGTCCAACATCCTGCTGACTTATGTTTGTATATTATTTTTAATCAGTAATAGATTAGGTTCGTTTACCTCCGTGTAATGGATAGAGTTTAACTGCCTTAACCTTTCTTTAATGTAGTGTGTCTTTTTGGATATTACAATTGCGCCTCCTTTGTCGCTCTTAGAGAAAACAATATCATGCATGTTTCTCAAAGATCGTAATCCTAGCTGTTGTTCTTTAGTGTAATTGTAGTAGTTATTTTGTAAATCTAGATTAGATAATTCAAATTTTGTGAGATCTAAATAATTTTCAAGTTCAAAGCAAGCAGGTGTTGGTTCATAAAATGTTTTCTGTCGGAACGGATGCAATTCCCGCCTTTCTGTATTGCCGAAATGACGACGACATCTAAGTTTTCTGGCAAATTCTGTAAAGTCTCTCATTACAGATCTGCCTATGTTATATTTCTTAGGCATAGGTATAAATTTTAAACCCTTACTTAGAACTATGCATTGTTCGTGTGTCAATTGACAGTTAGCTAAGTTATATACATACTGTTTAGCTTTATATACCTGTGCTTTTTTTTTGTCTATTCTTTCTAGAAACCCGATCGTGTTTTCTTAATTTTTGTTTACAGTTTTAACTTTCTATTTAAATCTGCGAGCCATTCTTTAGAGTGACAACTGCAATGTTGATAGTTATAATTACGATCACAGTTATAACCTTTACGCCTAATACACACCACAATGGATAATCGAGCTGTCTGCAATCACAGACAATTGGAAACTGAATGAACAAATTATATCGTACATCTACTTAATAATAAATCATGATGTTGACCTCAACTAAACTTTTATATCAGTGGTTAGAAAGTAAAAATATGTTATTCAATATATTGATACCATAATTAACACACATAACTAGACTTATCTGTATTGAGGAGTGGTAGTAGTGGTACTATGAAAATTATAATCCAATTAAGATAGCAGATTAAAACTTGTTTTATTAAACACGAAATAGAAAAATCCCTAGACAAAATGATTACATATTTCCATTGTATTATAACACTAATTAGTAATTATATGAATTGTCTCTGTATCTTTTCCTTTGGTCATATGGTCCTGGTGTTTTTCGGATTGTTTGTACCGGATTGCTGCTTTAAATTCGGCAAGCTTACTGTCATTCTCTTCTGATAGTTGTTATTGCTTCCTTTTTTCATCCAGGAAACCGTCCATTATTTGAATAATTCTGTCCATGAATGTATTTTGTGTGTCTTCTGTGATATTCTTCATTAGATCTCTAAACATAATGTTTATGTCATCATTGCCCAGATCAGGGGTGCACCTCATGTTCAGGTGACAGAAGGATGGCATATTTTGCGATGTTTTGCCGTAAACCATTCCTTCTCTGGTTCATTACTTCTTCTATCTTGTTAACTGCTTCAAATGCAATATCTATGGGGGCAGGCCGGTATTGTCAGTAAGATCAGTAAGGTCCAGATCATCAAAGTCACTGTCGTTCATTTCATTAATCCCATTAGCTACGAGTGCTTCCTGGTTTAGTGGTGGATGCGAACTGTCCATCTTTCTCGTTTTCTTTAATTTCAACTTGCACCTTTCTGTCTTATTCATAATATGATTGAAACAATCGAACTAGGTTAGCAGAGATTCTTTTAGCTCTGGTCTTTCCAAACTCATAAATAAACACGTGACAGCGAATAGATGACAACGGCGAGACGTAAGAATGCCTTGCAGAAACACTTATTAAGTGTGAGTCCCTGAGTACAGGAAATACGGATCGACATCAATTATAATTGAAGCGATACACGGGAAGGCGCTAAAAAGACGATGTCCTTTAATCTAAATGTTGAATGTCAGAAAGTACCTAACAGCCACGTTCGCCTATTCTCCAGGACACAACACATCGTGTTTCTGCAGTACAGAATAGGACAAACTCTATTAGCCATAAAACCGAATTGCCGAAAGATAAGATATTTATGAAGACAACCACTCGAGTTCTTCCAAGTTGGTTTATTTATATTGCTTACATCTGTTTCTATGGTCTTTTATATGAATTCATTTTAAAAATATCCACGGAAAGATAAATTATTGATCTTTAAAAAGCTTTAAAGTTTTTTTTTAACAAGTTTTCGAAAAGGGCAGTATTCTTATCGTAATGAGAAAATCGCGTATATTATTTTGCATTGAGGCGTGTTTGAGTCCATTGCTTTATCATTACGTATTTAACACAAAAACCAGTTGATATATCATTTCGCCTGCGCCGAAAATCGCGGATGCGAGACATGGAGACCATAAATCCTGCACCGGCGGTGCCTTCGGTGTATCGCCAACAAATAGGTACATAAAAATCATTGTTAACCTTCAAGAGAAAGTATCTACTGATTTTTATAATTTTTACATTAATATCAAAGCTATAAGAGGCTATCAATATCACAGCAAACATGGTCTTCTGACGTTAATTAGTGTCGTTGTAAAAACAATCAATCGTTGTTTTTATTTCATATCGGTTAAGAATTAGCTTCTCTTATTGGATAGCAAGGGGCCACATGGCATTCTTTATTCTTTAGTAAAAATTTCCAGGGTCTTTAACAGAAAAAAACGGACCAGAAAAACCGATCGTTAACTAACTTTTACATGTTAATGACCATTAGGGCATGGTTTCTCTGTTTAGAGTGATGTCCCTTTAATAAAACGCAATCGCGATTGAGACGTTTGGACATGGCTGAACTGGAAGGCACATTTGCTACAGACAACTCAAACGATGCTGATAGAGACAAACTACTCAGCAACAAGAATTATAAAATTATAGAAAATTTATTTTGTATTCATATACTGAAAAATTGCACTTAAATGGATGGTAGTGACTTATAGTTATCACTATGACTGGTCTTCACTCTTTCCTATAGAAATCGTACAATAACTCGAGTTTGCTTTGAACAATTTGAATTTATGAGAATTTTTAAAAACATGGTTCCTCAATGAAATAAACATAATAGTTATTGAAGAACTGGTCATTAGTGTGATACATGGACTGCCCGTAGGACAGTGGTATTGACTGCGACAGCGATAATGACCTCGCCTATGGCTCA